ACTAAACCCAAGCACTGCTCTTATTTGAGGCGTTTAAATCACTGTACGGGTGATCTCACTCCATTATTTTTAAAGAAACTTCAGTTCACTCTATTTAACTTTATACTTTAGAGAAATGAAACTATTTCCTCATCTCATTTATACCGAAGGAACTGAACTGCAGCTGAGTGGTAGCCCAGCAGCTCGTGACACAGCTGTTTCAGGGCACTGAATAGTCAGCAGTGAAAACCAGAGGCAGGTTTGGGGTGTATGGAGGAAACAGCATTTCTGGTGCTGTTGTGTAGCTGAGAGATGGAGGATGTGGAAGCTTGTCTCAGTCTGACAGCCACGTGGAGCAGTGCTTCTCTGCAGGGCCTCTTTGCCTGGGGTGCCATGAGAATGAAATGCTCTGGAAATGCCCACCAAGGTGTTCCTGCTCTGCTGGCTGTGCGCAGGCCTGCAGCTCGCTGTGCTGCTTTAGGATCAGAAATGCTTCTTGTGGCTCTTCCCTCTCCTGTGGCGACAGCCCTGCTGGGGGGCAGTGGGCCTTAGTGCTGGGCAGAGGAGAATGGCTGGGATGCTGGGTGCTGTGCTCAGGTCTTTGGCTTTGCAGCTCTTACCTGGGGCATCACAGCCCTGTCAGAACTGGGGTTCTGCTCCCTGTGTGGTGTGTGGCACAGCAGGTGCCAGGTACAAGTGATGGTGCACATAAGGAGGCATTTCTCTGGTTAACTGCTTGTGAATGTTAACTGCTTGTGCTCTGGGCTGACAGTACTTTGCTTTTTTTTTTTTTTTTTGGTGTTTCAGACTTTATTTTGCTTTTTGTGGTGTACAGAACTGATGAGGGAGGGCTGAAAGTTGAGACCAATGCCTTTGATTTCTTGAGCTGCAACTTCTTAATTGCAATTATTGGTTGGGAAGCTCCTTGTCTGTCTTTTTTTTTTTTTCTTCCTTTTGATATTAAGAGGGCAGCTGAATACTGACCTCAGTGTGTGCAGGCAGTACTGGAGATAATTGATTTCTGAAGGTCTTGTCATTTGGATACAGTTTTACCTGCAGGACTGCCACCACGGGTGGTTCGTAGTGCCTGAATGTGCTAAAGCTGAAATCCCCAGGTCTGCAAGAGGAGGAGCTGCTGTGGCCCCCCAGTGCTTCTCCATTGGCACAGCTGTGGAGATGAGATCTACCAGGCAGGGGTTGTGTGCTGCTCTTGAATTGGGAGGGCAGGGAAGGAATGGCCCTGCAGAACCTGGCGGTGTGCACAGCTTTGTGTGCTGCCTGGGACCTTGCACTGCAGTGATGGGTACTTAATTTCTCCTTGAATTCAGGCAGTGCTGCCAGCAAGCAGTGGTAACCTTTCTCAGGGCAGTTTGATTGGAGGGGATTTGGATTGATAGCATGAAAGTAAAGTTACTCCGCCATGCCTTAGCTGGGTAATTCATGAGTTTGTTTCTTCTCTGAGTATTCCTCTAGAAAGGCTATTTTTCAGATATCGAGTAAACTCTGCCATTCAGCAAAGCTTTCACTTGGCCCAGGAATCAAATTAATTTTTATTTTGAATGCTACGCCCATTGTAAAAGGGGATCTCCTGCACAGGAGGTAAAGCAGAGCTCTCTGTTTTTGACAGGGAATGACAAGCGTGTTTTCCTAAATGTGGTGTTTCTGCTCTTTCCTCTGTTTCAACACAAAGTCTTCACAGGAATAAACCCAGTGGAATATGAGTCACTGTAGGAACAAGCACATGGGCAAGGTGGGCCACTGCCTTATAAATGGTACAATTGTAGATACAGAAGCGCAGAGACTGCTCTGGTTGGAAAGCTGGCTGGAAAATAGCAGTCATAAGGTAGAGGGACATTTATATTCACAGAAACCATTAAATATTTTGTATATATTTGCATTTCATTTTCTAACTGCTTTTTGAAATGAAGCTTGCCTCTTCCAGCTATCCATCAATTAGTGTATCACAGAGCTGCTGAGCTCCCTGTGCTGTCATAGTGCTTGTGTGGACAATTTGCAGAGTGAAAACCAAACAGCAAGGCTGAAACTCCCATGGACTTGACTATAGGCTGATAGAAGCATGAATGGATCATGGCATCCACAAACCCAGCTGCACACAGAGCTTCTGAGGCAAAAACTGATAGTGCTGCAGCATTTGTTGCTCTATTGCTCCCATCAGTGTACCTTGAGATTTCAGCTCGTCCCACTCCCTTGGGATGTGACAGTTCATTCTTCCACCTGTGAAATAAAGTGCTGCAGTGAATGTGCCCGTGGGTTGGAGAGGCTTCTCCATCAGTTAAACTGGGTGCAATGGATCACCTTTGTAGTGTCAGAACAGAGCTGGTAAGGGAATGCTTTGGGGGCTTCAAGAATCTCTATCTCCCATGTGGTGATGAAACCAAACCCTTGTAAAGTAGAACAGTAAATATGTGGGTGGGGGAGGAAAAAAAAAGTAGCAGAAGGACTAACAGCCTCGGATGGGGCATTGCTGTGCTGTGCAGAAGAGACTCAGTGCTCCCTTCCCTGTGCCTTAACCGCCGGGCTGCTCGGTCCTGTCTGTGTGCCACTGCTGGGCTGAGCGGTTCCGTGTAGCTGAAGCGATACCGGGGCAGAGATGGGTTTGCCAAACCGCTGCTTTCAGGTGCTGAGAAGAGCTGCTCGGTTCCCGAGGCGCTGCCCACCCGGAGCAGCGCTGCTGCGGTCCCAGCCCATGCGTGGAGCAGCCCCGCTCCGTGCGCTCCGCTCGAGGAACCGGGGTGACTCATTCTTCCTGGACACCATCCATCTCGCATGGAAATCGATGAAATTCTTTCTTTTGCGTTTTAACACATGTTCTCAGAGTTACTTTCTGCAGTAAGTCTTCATTAATTTGTTAAATCTAAATGAACTCCTGGTCCTGATGGCTTTCCCTTGGGCTGAGGCGAATGGAGGCAGCGCCGGGAACTCGCCAGGCGCCGTGAAATACTTTCCCATCCCTGCTTATGATCTACCAACCCGAGGACAGGCGCTCTTTGTGCTCTGCGCATTATTCCACGGGAGCGATCCCCGTGCCTTAAGGCAGAGGGGAAGCTCCGGAGGTGGAAAAACCGGGGGGCTGCGGTGCGCCGTGGGCAGGGGGCGGGGGTTCGGTGGGTCCCCGTGCGTCCCTGTGCCATCCGCATGTCACACCGCACCCTGCTGGTGTCATTCCTCAGCCCCAGTTGTACTCCCAACTGCTTTATTATTATTTTTAAGCTGCTTTGTATTAAATTAATAAAATATGCTCGCGTCCCGTCGGGTCCCTGTTTGCGCCCTTTACGCATCTTTGTAAAAAGGAGCTGCTCGTAAACGGGCTGCCGGCAGCTCTTTGCAGTTCATCGCGTTCGCAAAAAGAGTTCGGCATCCTCGTTTCGTTGGGGTGACTGCCTTAAGATTGGAGGGTGCGGGGGGAGCAAGGATCGTGTCGGGTTTTTAGGAAGCTTTTGGAAACTCAGCGCTCGCCGAGCTCTGCGCGCTTTGCCGGCCGTCGGTTCGTTCCGCTGCCCATGACCGATACCTGCTCGGTTTTCAGGTGGATTGGGGGCAGAGAAGCGTTTCCGATGCGCAGAGCTTTGGGAGGGCTTAAAGCAAAAGGAGCGTTTGGGAATGGGGTTGATTTGTGTTTTTCTTTTTTTCCTTTTTTTTTTTTTTTTTTTTTTTTTTTTTGCTTTTCCTGTTTGCTAGCGAAAAAAAGTGTTCTTAATTATGACTTGGGGGGGATATGCACAAAAAGCTCTTCCAGGAAAGTAATTCTAAACAGTGCAAAAAAAAAAAAAAAAAAAGAAAAAATCTGTATGATGTTCTATTTTAATAATCTTTTTCAGGCGTCTGAGTCGCGCTCTGAAAAAAAAATAAAGCTTGCAGGAAAAAGGCACCACCAATACAGCCTTGAAAACAAAATGTGCAAACTTCTGAGAATATGCCCTCGTGTTGAATACACCGGATTTCTCTCCCGAGCAAAGGGGAAGGTTTTGTTCGTTTGGACAGTCTTTGAATACTGTTCTAAAACTTCTTTCAAGTGGGGACTGAAGAGAGAAATGTTAAGTTCTAAGAGGGAGACAATGCGTTAGCATCTTTGAACGCAGCCCCTTGCATGCAAATCAGCCTTTTGGCAATTTGGGGCACTTTAATTGGAAGGTGGCAGCGCGGCAAGATAAGGCTGCGTCCCTCGGAGCGCAGCACTGCCCGGCGTGGGATGGCCGTGCGGGGACCCCCACCCGGCTCCCCCCCCCACCTCAGCGGGGCGGCCTCCGAAAGGCCCTCCTTAATGCAACCCGTCGGTTTAAAGTTTCTGTAATTTTCACCTAATGATTTTTTCTTTTTTCTTTCCCCCCCGTTAATGCTTCCCCCCACAGCCCCCAGGGGCACTGTGTCAGGCCGGGCCCAGCCAGCCCTGGATGGCTTTTTCATAGCTCTTGGCTGCGCGCAGACCCTTCTCGGGATTAGTGGTCGGACTCCTCATTTCCCATAGCCATAAAAGGTCTTGAACTCAATTAATAGCTAATAATTATACAGCCGGCGTCAGCGGGGGGAGAGCGTGCGAAGGCTCCGCTGCAGTCCGAAGTGGTGGGGGGGCACAAGGGGGGTGTTGGCCGTTACAGCGGGTGGGGCGGGGGCCGCCCGGCGGGCAGCGCCTGAAGTGCTGCCGGGGTTCGGTTCGCTCACCCACCTCTAACCCTACCGCCCTGTAAAGCTTTAATCGAGGAAATATCTTTTGGGGTGCGGGGGCCGCGAGCCCCTCGGAGCGCTGCGCTGCTGCGGCCCCGCAGAGGGAACCGCGGCGGCTCCGCGCCTTCACCTTGAGAAGGGCCATGCCGCTAAGTGCGAGGGGAAAACCGACGTACCCAGTGCGTTGCCTCGGGCGCAGTGTGCGGGGGGTGAGAAAGCAGTGCGGGGAGCCCCGACCGCTGCCCGCATCGCCCCGCCGCGCAGCACGCACCGCTGCCCGCCCGCGTTCCTCCCCACGCGTTGCGCGGCCGCGTTCCGACGTCTGAAAGAAATAATCGTTAGGGTTCCTCAAGTTCTCTTTAATGGCCGCGCTCTCCTGGAATAAAGCAAGCTGCTGCGTTTCTTTTACGGCGGCGGTGACAATACGGTTGAAGTTCGATATTCACACGTGAACGTCGCTTTTCTTTTCGTGACTCGTTATTTTCAGACGGGCGATGTTACCTTTCCCCGGCCCTGCAAAGCGCGGCCTCGAGCAGCGTAACGAATTCGGAGGAATTCCTGGGGCTGGGAACGGTTTGGGGGGAAAATCCGAAAGGGCCGATTTATACCGCGTGTTTACAGGGCTGGGAGAGCCAGAGCTTCTGCTAGAAATAAGAATGGCAGCGTCTGCTGAGCGTGTTTCGGTGCAGGGAGAGGTGTCGGTGGGGCAGCGAGCTGCAGGAGAGCGCTGCGCTGCGCGGCTTTTGCGCGCAGATAAATAGAGGGAGTGTGAGAGCGCAAAGCAGCGCGGCTGATGCACAAAACGCGTTTTTCTGTCCTTGTGCTTCCCGGTCATTCTGAAAGGCATCTGAGAATAATAAAAATAAGTAGGAAGAATAAATATAACAAAAGCACTTGAAAAAGGAGCGGGGGAAATTCTTCGGGAAGGAGATCCTGAAGGGTTTAGAGCGGCTGAGGCGGGGTGCGGGGTCGGGGTCGGGGTGCGCTGCCCGCCGCCCCCAGCGCTGTCCTTATCCGCCCCCTTGTGCCCGCAGCACGCAGCCGGGCCCGAAAGGTGATGAAATTCCTTGGCACCGGCGGGGCGAGCCGCTCTTTGATTGCGTGCGTTTAAGGCAGCCCTTAATTACAATGTGGTCGTTGTGTGGGTGCTTCCTCCGCTTATTAATGGCAGATTAGGAAGGGAAAAGCTCCGGGGAAGCGTGTAACATTCTCGGGGCTCGCTGACCCGTCCTGTGCCACGGGCATTTGCGTAGTTTAAAATATTAATTCCTGCTCTAATCTCCCCGCGACGCTGCGAGGAAACAATGAGGAATTTATGCGCAAATCCTCGGGACGGGAGAAGGGTTCCGCTGCGTGTGCGGAGATGCCGCCGAGCCGCGCCGTCCCAACCATTTTAATCTTCTTTAGTGCTTAAACTTGGGCACAACAAGTGGCGAAGGGCCGTGTCCCGATTCTCCCCGCCTCCCCGTGAGCCCGAGGGCCGCTGGGGACGGGGCTGCCCTTAGGATGGGGGTCGCGGTGCCCGTAGCGCATCGCCGCCCCTCCGCAGTGCGTGCGGCACCCGGTGCTGCAACGGGTGGCAGCGGGGCCGGGAAGCAGACACGGAGCTGCGAACAGCAGCGAGAGGTGGGCTCTGTAGAGCCTTAATACGCGGGTTCCGTTGGCCTCAGCCCTGGGCCGGACCCCTGGCACAGAGGGGAGAAGGGTCCTGGCTGCGCTTTTCTGCGCATCGCCCCGCAGGGGTCTCCCAGCGGGGCCGGGGGCTGCGGGCTCCCTGAGGCCACCCGGGCTGGGCCCCTCTCCCTTCCTCCCTCCCTCCCCGCTCATTAATTTCCCATTCTGGGTGGAAGCGCTCCAACAGGTGTAGGCTGCGCCGCTGCGGGATGGGAACGGCTGCGGTTGTGCCCCGAGCCCCGCACTGCGCCCGGTGCTGGCGGGGACGCACGGCTCGGGGCCGGCACAGCTCTGCCGTCCTCAGCGCACCTCGCTTAAAAATTCGTTCCCTTCAATTTTTTTTCCTTCGTTTTCTTTTTACCCCTCGCCTCTCAACCCCCCATCGCAGGGACCCCCGCTGCCCCCCCCCCCCCCCGCCCCCCCGCCACAGCCAGAAGGAAACAGGAGAACAGAAACGCGAGGGCTCGGCTCGGCCACGCGGCGCCGGGACGCGCGGCGATTTTCGATCTTTCGATCGCTCCTCGGTGCCTTCCTTTGCAGAAGCGTCAAATAAAGCCTTTTTCTGGGGGGGGTGGGGGGATGGGAAGGTGGGTGTCCGCGTACACACAGCCCCGAAAACATTTCTCATCTCTTAAAATACTCGCGAGTGGGTCTCGGTGACGCGCGGCTCCGCTGCGCGCTCATTTACCGCAGGAACAGAACTATTTGCTGTGGAGAATCGGAACTCGGGGGTGCGGGGCTTTGGCCCCAGCACAATTCCCTGCGGGGCCGTATTGAGCCCCGCGCAGATCCGCGGAGCTCGCCGTGTTCCCGGCCCGGGGCTCACGGAGCGCTCACCTGAGCGCGGCGTTCCTTCGGGTCGGGGCCGCCGGGAAAGGGCAGAAATGAACGGGGCAGCGTTTCGAAGCTGCGCTTTTCCCTTCCCCTCGGAGAGACGCAGCCGCCGAGGTCGCGGGGAGAAATATTTCAGCGAATCGCAGCCACGAGGGATCCCGTTTCCCGGAGCGGCTCGGCTCGGTTTACCCACGCCCGGGTCTCCCCACGCATTCCGAGGAAGGAACCTCCGCGCACCGCTTCAGCGTTCGGGCGACACGTGGCTGCTCCTTCCCTTCCTCCGGACGCGGGGGTTGCATTCGGGCTCCCGTTCCGCCGCCGTTCCTCTAACGCGGGCTCCGACACCCGCCGGGCCCCGCGCCGCTCCCGGCCGCAGCCGGAGGTCACTGCGGAGGGGCAGCGCGGCCCCCGGTCCCACCTGCGGCTCCGGGCGCACCCGCGGAGGCTGCGCTCGGGGTTCCCCCGTCGGTGCGCGGCCATCAGCGCGTCCCCGTAGCCCTTTATTTTGGGGAAGCTTGGCGAAGGCGCGCGTTTTCCCTCTCTCCATATTAATCTCATTAAATCCTACCTTTCAACCTTCTTCCGTGACCATCTGACCTGGCCACTTGAATTCAAACAGTGCTTTCTCCGCAGTCAAAGACAGCACATCAATCACCGGGCTATTTACACTTCGCTCCTTTCTTCAAAGAGGAGCTGCCCGCTCTCCCTCCACCTTCCCTTCCGGGGACGACGGGCACCGTTTGGGTTTACTGGTGTTATGATCGTACATCTATATATATTTGGTTTCTCACCCCCCTGTTCTCGGCTGTCCGTGGGTCTCTCGGCTTCCCCCGGCGAGGCAGCGGCCGTTCCCTCGGGAGCGCTCCCAGCGGCACCTGGAACGCAGAAGAAAGCGGCACCGGCACCCGCTGTCCCCGGGCGGCCCGGCCCGGTTCGGCCCAGCCCGGCTCGGTTGGGCCCGGGCGGCCCCGGGACACAAGCAGCCGCACCGCGGCATTCGCTTTGTTTTATTTTATGTATATACATATATATATATATATATATATTCCCGGTCAAAACGCGTCGAAATGAGTGAATAAATTGGGGTAGGAAGAGCTTTACCGCTGAGCTCTGCGACGCCGGTAGTTAAAATAAATATCCCCGTACAAAAGAGAGCCGTGCCGGTACGGCACAGAGTGTAAGTTGGTGCTGGTTAGGAGTCAGGAACCCCCCCGCGCAGAAAGGGGCAAGAGGAGGAAAAGGGTAAAAAGGGAGAAAATAAACAAACTCGTTGAGAAGTTGCTGTAAATAATCGTTATTATATATCTATGTATATTTCGGATTAAAAAGAAAAGCGCGTTTAAAACGCGTACGAATTCCGAGGAGACACCCGTGAACAAACTCTCGACGGCATTGCTATTAAGTAATAGTAAGAATAGCAGGAATAACAGCGATAATCACCTCGTTCGGGGATGGCACCCGGGTCCGCGGGCGCTGTCCTCTCCGAGGGGCGCTGCGCGGAGGGGTCGGAGCGCTGCGCGTCTGTCTTAAAGGGGCAGATCGGGGGAAGGCTGCGCTGGTGCGCGGAGAGAGGAGGGGGCAGAGATAAGTGGTCTGGAGAAGAGGATAGGACAGGGGAAAAAAAAACCAACCACCCCGATGATGATGAATACATTGGAAAGTTTTTTTGGCCCTGGTGAGGGTGTCAGATTGAATGCTCTGTGCGCATGTGCGAAGGTGTCCAAACTGACAATGCTTGGGAGATGAAGATAGTGTGTAGCTGCTTCTGGGCTCAAGGAGGAGGAGAGGAATCCGCAAGCCGACACGATGAGATCCAAGGCGAGGGCGAGAAAACTGCCCAAAAGTAGGTCCTTCCTCTCCCTTCTTCCGCGTACCGCCGCCGCGGGGTTCGGGCAGCGCCGCGCGGAGCCGGGCCGGGGGCTGCGCGCCCACAGCCCCTCTGCGCGCCCGCGGCGGCGGCGGGAGCCGCGCTCTTCGCTCCGGGTGCGCGCAGCCCTGGCGGCCCCGCGCTGCTCCGCGCTGCCCGGGGAGTGGGAGCCGCGGGCACAGGGAGAGCTGCGCGGGGCCGGCGGCCGGGGGAGAAAAGCGAAAGTTAGCTCTAAGTTGAGGGGTGGCCAAACCCCGCGGTTTTTTTTTTTTTTTTTTTTTTATTGAGTCGTTCCAAGTCTTGTGAAATAATATTCCTGGCTTTTGAAATAGTGGGCGCTAGAGGTCTGCGTTTGGCATCTGCCTGCGCGATGCAAAGAGACTTAGAGCTGGAGGTGGGGGGGTGATGGGGGGGGGGAAGGGGGGGGGGGGAGAGACAGCACAGACAAACGGAAAAGAAAAATAATAATAATAATAAAAAAAGCGGCCCTTCCAGCCTCGGAAACAATTATCCGGGAGGGCGAAGGGAGAGAACGCGTAGCGGGAGCGGCTTCGCGCAGGGCCGGAGCATCGGGCAGCGCTGCGGGCCGGGCCGGGGGCGAAGCGGCGCGGGGGGGGGGGGGGGGGGCGGGGGAGTGTCTTTAATTTTTAATTTTTTAAAATTTACTTGGGGGTGGAATTGCAGCTCGTAAGTCTTGCGCGGCTTTTTTTCCTCCGTCTTCTCCCGGCCCCTCTTTCCTCCTTTCTTTCTTTCGAGTCGTTTCAGGCCGGATTTTCAGTGGAGCGCGGTTTCGGCGGGGAGGAACGGGGCAGAAAACCCCACCGCGGCCGCTCAGTGCCTTCCCCCGGGCCGGGGCCGCCCTCCCGTGCCTTCCTGCCCTTATTCCGTACTTTCTGTTCCGCTCCGGCTCCGCGTTGGGGGGTCCGGGGGTCCCGGAGCTTCCTGGAGCAGCGGGAATAGCGGCGCCGCTCCGCGCGTCGGGAGCTGGCGGTGCCGGTCGGGCTCAGCCGAGGGAGCGCAAATCCCGCGCTCAGGTGCGGGCCAGGGGCTGCGGGAGGACCGCGCACCCCGCGCTCGGTTCGGGCTTTCGGCGCTGACGGGCCCCGGCGCGGCGCTCGGAGCAGCGGCCCGACCCCGCTCTCGTCGTGGCCGAAATCACAGCGCAGCCCTCGGCCGAGATTCTGTAGCGCGACGGGGCCGTTTCTCCCTTTCCTTTTCTCATTTATTTTCCCTCTTCTCGCTCGCTCCGTACCCGAGTTCTCTCGCGGCCCGCAGCTCCGCTCTCCGAAACTCTCCGGTCCCGCAGCTCCGAGGCCGCGTCTCACCCCGCGGAGCTTCCCCCGCTCCCACAGCCGCGTGCGTTGTTCCGCAGCCGCGCACTTTCCGCGCCCCAACGAGCGCAGCTCCGCTCGGGGCCGCCCCGCGATCCGTGCTGCGACGCGTGCGGGAAGCGGCAGCCGCGGAACCGCCGGGCTTTGATTTCCTTTTATTTTTACAATAAAGTGGTTTGAAGAACAAGCACTCAAATAATAACTTTTTCTATTAAAAAAAAAAAAAAACAAAAAACAAAAAAAAAAAAAAAAAAAAAAAAAAAAAGAGGGGGGAAAAAAAAAGAAAGAAAGAAAAGAGAAAGAAAAGAAAAGCCAAATCCTTGTCGCTTATCGGCTCGAGTTGCGTTGTTTTAAGGAGCAGTTTTCAGAGCGCTGTGCCAGCGAGATTGAATACAGTGGAATATTATCGACGTTATTTTATTTTAGTTATTATTATTATGATTATTTTCCATTTAAAAAGTTCTTTTATCTCCTCCCGAAGCCGGCCGGGCTCCATGCGTGCCCGCTGCCCCCAGCCCTCCTCTCTGGGCGCCGGGAGCTGCGGCCTCGGGCGGGCACTGCGGGACAGGGCCGCTCGGAAGCTCTGATTAACATCAGGTGTTTAATACAATACAAGGCCCAACGGTTTATGGGGTTTCAGCGGAGGATTTTTGAGGGATCACGGTTCCAAACAGTAGCCCGCAGCTAAGGTTTCACTATCCCAGGAGTATTTATTTGCAGAACTGCTGGAACACGGACGCGGGGCTGCGGGTCGCTCCGGGTCGGTACCGATCGCTCCGTGCCCGCACCGCACCGCGATGTACCCGGGGGGGAGCGGCGTGCGGCGGTTGTAGGAAACCCACGGCTACGTTGTAGAATTTCATTTCATTGGACAATATTTTAAGCAGATGTGAAGCTCCTCTGGGACTTCGACTCTATTACCTGACTTGGAAAGGGGTTGAATGTGCGTGTGCGAGCCGGGGTGGGGGTGAGAGGGGAACTCCGGGCGATTCGGAGCCGACTCGCGAGGAGGAAGGCGCAGGTATCGGGGCCGGGAACGGCCTCGGCTCGCTGCGGTGCGCCGGCAGGGCCGGAAAGTCGGGGCGAGGGGCGGCGGTGCGGTGCGATGCGGGGCGGCCACCGCCGGGCTGAGCCCCGCCGCCCCCCGGCCCGGGATGGATGGCGGTACCGCTGGCCGAGCTGTGACCCTCCCGGCTCGGGGCTCCGTCCGCGGGGCAGTCCTGGAGCTCCCCGTGACGGCGGAGCGAGGCCGGGCGGCAAACATCGGAGCGCGGTGCCGCCCGCACGCCGCCAATTCGTTCCATTTCGACTCTTCGAGCCGGCTTTGCAAAGTACAAACGGGCTCGCAGACCACACGCGGGTGAGCGGTGGTTGCGGTTTAAGTTCAAAATAAACGTTCGTGCCGGAGAAAGGCGGCCGGTGCTCCCGCAGCCCCGTTTGTTTTTTAGCGTCGGGAACGGGACGAAGTTGAAGTCGCAGCGCGAGTTTCAGAGCCGGAGCGGCTCCGTGGGCTGCGGGAGCGCCGCGTCCCTTCCCGGCCGATGGCTGCGGGGCAGCGCGGGGCCGATCCTGCTGCTCACGGAGCGGATTTCTCCGCGTCCAGCGGGCAGTGCCGAGAGCGCGGCGCACACGGAAGACAAAAATATACGGAGCTTTTGGGGGGCTTTTAATTTTGGAGCCTTATTATTATTATTATTATTACATCTCCGAGGCGTCTGCTTCCTTCACCGCATCTCTCCCCAGATCCGCGGGAGGACACGAGCACGGAATGGGCTCCGGGAGCCGCAATGCCACGGGCAGCGCATCCCGAACGGCCCGGCTCGGCGCTATCTCCGCGCCCGCGCAACCCCGCGCAGGTGCGGCCGGACCCGCCGCCGCGCAGCCCCCGCCGCCCGCCCTGCCCCGGATCTGTTCAATTAGGCAATTAAAGAACCCGGGCAGCGAAAGGAGTGTGGGGGGGGGGGGGGGGGGGGGGGGGGGGGGGGGGGGGGAGTTTGATCCGCTAATTACGGTGATGTGTAATTAGCGCTTCAACAAAAATTAGCAAGGATTTAAAATCAGTTTAGTCTTAAAAAAAAAAAAAAAAAAAATTACCCGAATTGTACAAATATAATTTATCGCTTCACCCCCCCCGGGCCCCCCCCTCCCCCTCCCGCTGTACGTATTTAATTTATTTAAGAAAATGCAGAGGGAATAAC